TCTTTTTCCTCTCCACTGCTGTAATTTCTCTTCTCGTTCTTCTTGTTTCTTTTCTTTTTCCTCCAACAACTGCTGTAATTTCTCTTTTTGTTTCATTTCTCGTTCTTCTTGTTTCTTTTCTTGTTTATTTTGTTGTTCGAGCTGCCATTGTTGCAGGTTTTCTTGCAACTGCTGTTGTCTCTCTTCCTGTTTCTTTTGCTGTTCTTGTATTGCTGCCATCAAATCTGCTAAACTGTAGTTTGATTTGCCGCTTCTCATTTCTATCTTCTCTTTTTTCTTCTTCTTTTTTTTATCCCACTTCTGACACTAATTTGTTACGTCTTCGTTTGTTAATTAACTTTCCGTAACTTCGTTCTGATGAAACTTTAGCGACACAAGTCCTTACTTAATAAAACTGGTTTATTCTTTCCGAATATAACTTTACGATACACTTAATTTCAACAATCGCGCTAAAACAAACGCTATAACAACGAACGTGCTCAATAATACTCTCTGACTGCAGATCAATTACTCACTGTCTACACACACACTATTTTATCACGTTGTCACCCTCTTTTATATACCAGACTACCCTATATCTAGTAAATGCTAGAGCATTCGCCAAGGTACAGGATAGTTCTAGAAAGCAGTATTTTCAGTATAAGCGTTACTGTAGCTAATGTGTTGAGTATTATATTCATATAACTCAATTTCTTTACTTTTTTATATCATAGTATTACAGTTGCTGTTAGCGTTGTTCTGCTCCTTACAAACTACTGTAGTGTCACTTAGAAATAAAAGATAAAATTATTCACAAAATTAGATTAATTTATTAATTCTTCTAAAGAAAGAAAGATGGCGTTGACTCTGAGTTTTTGTGCTAATATTCACGTTTTATATCAGAGTTAAGATATTTTGGTTCGGCGTGTCCTGTGTGCGAGAGATAAAGCTTTCTTTACAATATATTTCAAATCAACCATGAAAGTTTTGTCAATAAATCAATTTTTATTTCCAATCAACGGCCGTCCGAAGGTCAGCGGTAAGTGTAAGGATGGTAAAATCCGGGGTTCGATTCCCGTGCTTAAATGAAAAATATATTTTGTATCGGCTAGTTTATACGAATGCTCTAAATTTCAGAACATTTAGAGTCATCTTTTTGTTTTCATTATATTATAACAGTATGACAGTAAAATATTACACCTTGCAAGATAGCAGCATTTGTAACACTTGGGCAAAAATTGGGCAAACTCAAGTCCACTTAATGATAACGAAAGCGTTTATTTCTTGAACTTCACGTTCTGCAACTTTTCTTTACCCATGTTCATTGATACGCGGAAGTTACAGTAGATGTTAACGTTCACTGATACGCGGAAGTTACTATAGACGTTAACGTTCATTGGTACGCGGAAGTTACAGTATACGTTAACGTTCACTGATACGCGGAAGTTAATGTAGATGTTAACGTTCACTGATACGCGGAAGTTACTGTAGACGTTAACGTTCATTGGTACGCGGAAGTTAATGTAGACGTTAATGTTCACTGATACGCGGAAGTTACAGTAGACGTTAACGTTCACTGCTACGCGGAGGTTAATGTAGACGTTAACGTTCACTGATATGCGGAAGCTACTATAGACGTTAACGTTCACTGACACGCAAAAGTTACTGCAGACGTTAACACAACGATTTCACTTGCTTTTTAATTTTTTCACACGCGCTGCGCCTCTCGTATCTCTAGCACTTTGTTGAAACACAAACTTAATATTCACAAAAGTGAACTAACTAACTGTCTGACGTTAATAGACAAATTGACTACAAACTCCCTAAAAGATAATATAGATATCTGTATTAGACTGTGAAGCAATATCTGGTCATGTGACCTCTTTGTTCTATACAGCATATGTGTAAACTACTTGTACCTGAGAATGACAAAATCTTGTCGAAACGTCGTACATCTATAATAAAGTCTTTCATTACCCGGCAAGCGTCTAAAAACTTTTAATCTCGTTAAATAAATAATTAATTATAATCTGTTCTAGCGTAACTTGCGTTTTTAAATTGCTCAGCTCGTTTTATAAGCTTTTAGTAAACTTCTTGTCAGTAAGCCATGCCCAGCATGTGACGTCAATGGCGATATATTAATACTCACATATAATAAATAAAAACATAGACATGTTTAGATGTATTTATGTATGTTTTGACAAGTACAGTGAGAGAGGGATATTGGAAAGTAATAAAACATTTCACCTTAGGTAATGATAAAGCCACTTTTATTTATTACTTAATATCTTTATTTAATTTTTACTTTATCAGTTTTGATATAGAAATATTTACGTGCTGTAAATCTTGCGTAAGAAAAACTTCCAACAACAGCCC